GTTATCATCCGACTCGGCAAGACGCTGTTAAGAGGTTTTGAGCATCTTATTAAACGCAATTAACAGTTAAACCGACATGAATCATAACCGCACCGATCTACACCGAAGAACCGGTCTGAATCACCAAAGACCGAAGTGACCGACGATTACCGAGGTCAACATCCCCCGAGGACAACATGAACCGAGGTCGTCATCTCCTTAAGCAGGTGACAAGGCATCTACGTGAGGTCCTTCTACTCCACAAGATCTGTCATCATTTGCGTGGGACCCTCTGCCTCGAACCGCCCATAAAAAGCTACTTTATTCCAAAAAGTAGTACACGGATCCCGATGCCTCAACCCAAAAACTACTATAAATAGTGAACCTATGACCATTGTAAAGGGATCTGGGTTTTCTCAAATTACCGAACTGTAAACTCTTTACCACATAACACGTAAAAGCCCTTCACGGCTCTTCACCTCGGTTCACCTCGGACCGGGGCCATTGCTGATGCAATTTTACATGCTTTACGTTCAAATCCTTTTAACTTAGTCACTTAAATCATAAATTACATCGTTGTTAACAATCATATAACAACAAAGGGCACTATTGGACAAGGTATTATCTATCCCAGAAACTCCAAATTAATTTTGAAGGGTTTTAGTGACAGTGATTGGGCTGCCTGCCCAGACACAAGGAGAAGCATTACAGGATATGCTTTCTTCCTTGGGGACTATTTGATTTCTTGGAAATCAAAGAAGCAACCCACTGTTAGTAGATCCTCTGCAGAGGCAGAGTACAGGGCCTTGGCTTTCACAACATATGAAGCTCAATGGCTTTTGTACCTGCTCAAAGATTTAAATATTTCTCATCCTGCTCCTGTTTCATTGTTTTCAGACAGTAAATCTGCAATTTCACTGGCTAAAAACCCAGTTCATCACGAAAGGACAAAGCACATTGAAATCGATTGTCACCTTATCCGGGAAAAGCTTGCTGCAGGCACCATTTCCTTACACTTTGTTCCTTCAGAGGCTCAACTTGCAGATGTCCTCACCAAACCCTTGAGCCCTCAGCCTTTCTTAAACTGTATCTCCAAGATGAACATTGTAAATATTCATGTTCCTCTTGCGGGGGAGGGAGGGGGGGGTGTTAGATTATATTGTATTTAGTAATATTAAAGTTGTAATTTTTCTTGTATGAGTAAAACACGTTTTTATTCACTTTTTATGCTGTTTCTAGAATAGGTATAAATAGCAATTAGGGTTAGCTTTTCTCATTTTCAGTTTTATTTTTTCCCTTACAGACGGCTGCTCACTTTCTCTCTATTTCTCTCCTAATCTTTCCTCTTAACTCATCTACAATTTGTAATCTTCAATCTTCGATTATTGATAATGAAATCCTTGATGTTTTGTTCATTTTCTCATATTATTTAGCCAGCTCCGAGCAAGCCATGCCTCGGTCGAGCATGCTACACACCTAAATGCCTAGAGCAAACCAACTTGCATACGAGTATTGTCCAAAATCCACTAACCATTATGCAACGTAACAATAATGATCCACAAGAAAATACATAAGAAGACCAATGCTAAAATATCCACTCACCAATTACTTTTAACTTGTACTATGCTCATCAGGTTGTTTCGTGGGCTTACTTGTGTGGATTAACACGTCGTTTTCGTTATCCATTTGAGTGCGCACATGCTCTAATTTCTATTTGACATACCTTTCTCTAATATCCTTTGACAGATAAAAAGTGATTTACTCGTTTTGTAAGATAGTGCAAAAGCTTGTTAGCATTGTATCCTTTTCAATTAAAATTTATGCAATTAAATCTCAACTATACTTAAATAAGAGTGGACTTCAATAACTAATGATAATAATAAAAGAAAAAAAAAATTGTATATACTCAAAGACGATATACTTAAATAGGCTAATACCATAGTTACATGTAGCTATCAAGATAATAAGAAGAATTCAGTTAGGGAAAATAAATGAGATTTGAGATGGCTTCGTGATTTTGTTACCACTTCATTTTGAGAGTGATACGAAAAAGACAAGACGAATTCGGGAAAATGATCATCTCAATTGAATGATACAACTCTCACTAAACCAAGAATATATACACAAAATTAAGGCTACAGATAACTTAAGGCTAATACGGTAAATACACAAATATACACAAGAACACCCCTTCAAGTTGGAGCATGCGGATTCCGAATGCCCAACTTGTCAAGAAAGAAATCAAATTCATGCGGATTTGTATGCTCAAGTTACTAACTCTACACTTACATTCTCTCAAATATTCCATAAAATTCAAACTTAATTTGCATTATTGCATCTACTCATGTTCAATTTCTGATACAATCTTCAATTCGATTTATCAATTTCATGTATACGATCAGACTAATCGTCGTATTCGTGTAGTCGATTTATTCGAACGCATCATAGTTTGTGTGGTTTGTGAGACCATACTACAATAATATAATTGTTGACATAAAGTTTAACATAATAGATATGACAAAATTGT